TAAAACTTAGAATAACTTTATTTTAATATATCATTATAAAAATTAAAAAAATTTATATTCGATTCAATTCAATCAAATATTTGATTTCATTTGATTTGATTTGACAAATATTTGAGTTCAATTCAATTTGATTTGATTCAATTTGAAAAATCAAATCAAATTCAAATTGCTTAAATATTTGATTCGATTCGATTTTGAAGAACCCTATTCTTTTTCAATAACCTATTAATGGTTTAACTATATTATAAATCCTTTAATGAATTTCTATAGTAGAATGCTAAAGTAATGAATCCTTCCAATTGTGTTAGGTCTCTAAAGATAGGAAAATTTTTGATTGTAACTATTTTATCTGAATCTGTTTGGATTATTTCTTTACTAATTATATGTCTAAGAAATTGTAACTTTTGTTTAAAGAATAAATATTTTTCTAGACTAAGTTTTAATCCAGTCTGTCATAATTAGGATTCTGCAAAATCAAATCAAATCAAATCAAATCAAATATTTGATTGAATCAAATCAAAGATTAATTCATATTTGATCAAATCATTTTTCTTTAATTTGAATTTGATTAAATTGAATCAATTATTAATTTGAATTTGAATTTGATTTGATTTTCAAATTGAATATTCAAATATTAAATCGAATTGCGGAACCCTAGTCATAATTATAAGAATACTTGTTCTAAGTATAATAGATATTCATCAAATGACTTTGAGCTAAAATTTATATCATTAACATAAATATTTATATATTGTCATAATATATTGTGTAAAATAGTATCTATAAGTCTTTAAAATGTTACAAGTGCATTATAAAGACCAAAGGGCATAACATTAACTAAAAATTCCAAATCTGATAATGAAGATGATTTTTTCTTTATCCTTGAATTCTAATTCAACTTGCCAAAATCTGCTAGTAAGATCTAGTAAAGTAAACTATTAGGATCTTTTCAATGTTGCTAACATATAATAAATGCATGACAATAGATAGTTATTCTTTTTTATAATACTATTTAATTTATGGTAATTAACATATAAGTGTTTTTTAACATTTTTCTTTTCTACTATGACAATTGGTGATATCCATTGACTTTTTTAAGTTTGAATTAGATCTGACTTTCATAATCAATTAATTTCTTCCTTAATGAATTTCTGATTCTTATATGAAATGTAATGAAACCTTTGCTTTAGTAGCAAAACATTTCCTGTATCAATAGTATAGATTATATTTATTTTTCCAAATTAATTTAATTTTTAAGTAAATAAATCCACATATTCAACTATGAATTCATTAAATCTTTTTACTTGTTTAGTAGTAGATAGATACTCTAATATAAAAGATTTCTTTCTCTATTTCTTTGTATTAATAAAAAGACTCCTTAATAACTTGAGATTCTATAATTAGTTTTTCTAATTCCTATTTGATTGATATCATTTTCTTAATTGAGATTTCTTCTATATAACTGAACAATTCTTCTTGTTTATTTTCTTTATCATCTTTTTCTTTATATTTTTTTTCTTTATATTTTTTTTTACTTTCATTGTTATTAACTGGTTTAGTCCTTATTATTGAAGATTGTTAAAATTCAATAATGATATATTCTATCTAATATAAAGATATTATTTTATTCTTATAATATATGACTGCATCCGTTTTCTCTAACCAGTCATTTTCTACAATTGTATCATAGGAATTCATTTCAGTTACAATAGCATTAAATGAAATAATTTTTCCTATTAACCTATATAAAATACCAGTAACTATTCCAATCTTCTTCTTTCTCTATTCATATTTATTATAATTATTTTAGATGCTTTATTGCATTTCATGTTTAATTCTTTTAATAATGCTAATAAAATAATACATTCTGAAGAACCTGAGTCAATAATTAAGAAAATCTTCTTATTTTAATATAAGCTTAACAGTATAGTGCAGTTAACTTCTAGTTAATGTTTTTATTTTTATTATATAAGTAAAGCAAAATACTCTTCATCCTCATAATCTTCCTCTATATTCATTAGTTTGGAGTCAGATAGTGTTGATAATTTATTAGATATTTCGCTATCATTTGTTAGATTAATTTTTTCTATTATTGCAAGGTTTTTTCCTTTGTTTAACCTTTAACCTATAGGTTTTTTTAAAAGGTGGGCTATATTCATTAAGAATTTTGAATTCATCAATAGTAATTATTTATTTGTTATATTAGCTGGTTGATCAAAGAATTATTGTAATGTATATAGATTAATTATGTTTATAACTGAAGCAGCAGGTGGTTTTCTTTTTTCTTTTAGTTTATTAGAATTTTTAGTAATAATATCTCACTATTAGTTTACTTTTTCTATTATTAACTCTTCTTTAACAAATACTTGTCTCTTTTATTTATGAATATTTCTTGTAAAGATAAATTTGAGGAAACAAAAGAAGGTTCTGTATTATTAGCCTCTTATGATATACCTTCTAGTTTAAAGATTGGTTATTATTATTGTTCTAATAATTGTATCAACAGTTGTAATATTTGTGTATTTGAATTATTATTTGTTATGTTTGTTATATTATTTACTGGTAACGATATCAGATTAGTTGTAACATTATTTAAAAAACAAAGTTATTTGTTGGTTGTAGATTGTTTACAAAATTATTTGGCTATTATTGCTAATTATTAAAAATTAAATTCAAAGAGCAGCTTCTTTTTATATATCCTGATTGTTCATAGTTAAAGCAAGTAAGATTTACATAATTAAGATTGCCTATTTGCTGATGATTATTCTGATTTTGATAATTATTCATTTAATAATTCTGTTGAGAATTATGTTTGTTATATTGGTTGTTTTGATAATTTTGTCTATTATTATTATCTACATTTAAATGTTGAATCTGTTAAATTAGAGTTGCAATTGTATTATTAAAAATATTCATTTAAGTAGAAATTGCAGTTAGTGTAAATGTATTTATTTATATAAGCAGAGGTTTCCTTATATATAAGTTTATATTGTTGGCTTTATTAAGTATATTTAATCAGGTTTGATTATTAAATAGCTTAATTAAAATGTGAAGCTCAGGCAAATGTTCACTAATAAGTCATTTAGCTTTAAATGTGTTAAAATATTAGATGCTTGTATCTTCACTTGCTAATATAAATCAAGTAAAGCATTAATATAGTTATTTGCAGATTTGCCAGGTTATTATATTCTTCTTTCTAATTTAATAGTCTAAATTTCTATCAAGATTTATGATCTAAATGTGGCTAAAAAAGTAATAGTAAAATCAGTGCAATTATTATTACTAATTTATGCAATAATATGATTAGCATTTTTATTTGTAAGTTACTTATTAGTGATCTACTAAATTAAAGCAGATTTTTTCAAATAAGCTAATACAACTTTTAACTTTATATTATCATTGTTTCTATTAGTATTATAAGCACATATAAAGCTCTTATCCAACTAATTAAATCTTGATTTTTACCATAAAATAAGAAAAGTTAGCAATATGAGATACTTTTTTTAGTGAATTAGTATTTATTACATTTGCATTAGCTTAAAGCTAATTAATAATACAAGTATACAAATCAGGTAACTGCTAATACAATAATGAAAATATTTGTAACTTTATAACTATTAATTCAATTATAATAAAATTTTATATACACATATTTTAGAACTTACTAAACAATATTACTTATGTAACCTAAATTGATTTTCTTTAACCAAAATGCTTAAATTGCTCTCATATACTGTATAACAATTTAAACTGATAATTGTCTATTATATACATTTTTAAATATGTTGTTTATATTAAAAAACTTATATTTTAAATTTTAAATAAATTTTAATTAATTTATTAAATTAGATATTAAATAATTAACAGTTAATTATCATAAATTAATATTTTCCTTTTAATATTTATAAAAGTTAAATTTAAATATGTGAATTTAGCTTTTAAATATATATAACCTAAAAATTATATTATTTGATTCATTGTTTTTCATTGTTTTCATTTTTTAACTTATTAAATTAAATAATTAATTATTAAAAACTTATACTTAAAAATATATTTTCAATAAATTCTTGAATTTTTTTTTTTTATTAAGAAAAATTAAAAAAATTATAGAAATTAAAAATTTATACTGTTTAATAAATTTTAATGAATAATAAAAATAAAAAATTGATAGATTTTTATTATATCTTAGTTTTTGATTAATTAAATTAAAATATTAAAATATTACTTAGTCAAAAAAATCCTTAGAATCTGAATTTGTTTTTAACTAATTTTTTGATAAATTAAAATAAAAATTTATTAAATTGATTTAAATAATTTTATTAATATTTAATATTTTTATTATAAGTTATATTTATAATTTGGTTTTTGTTTTGCATTATTTTTCTTAGAATAAAAAATATTTTAAATAGTTTTTATTCTAAATATTTTTTGTTTTTATTTTTAATTTTAATATTTGACTCTTATAATTAAAATTAAGATCAAAAGGTTAAAATATATTCTATTATTATTTATTAATTAGTTTATAATAGAATTTAGATTATTATTATGCTAAAATATTATTTATGATTTTTCAATTGTTTTTTTAATCTTTATAGTTTTTTTATATTTTAAAGAAATGACTACCAAAAACGCCTGTTTCTTTTATCAATTTAAAATTGTATTACTTAATTAGCTAATAGGCCTAAATTAGTAAGGTTATATACACATATTAATAAATATTTTGATATGATATTAAAATTGTTTCAAATTTGGTTGGTCGAATACGACGATCAATTTACTATGGTTGGGTGAAACGAGAAACACTTTTTTTTCTTGACTATTTATGGTAGTCAGTAATTAGATTCAAGTATCGAGATGTAATAAAAGTGACACGTTGATCAAACATCCCATATTTTTTATTATTTCACGAACCATGTATTACAATTTAATCATTTAACCTTTTTAAATTTCCTTTTTTTTTTTTTTTTTTTTTTTTTTAACGCAAGAAGCTTTTTTCAAAAATGAAAAAAGAATCAGCTAGTATACTTGATATTGAAATTCAACAACAAGGATCGTTTATTGCTTCCAAAGGTAACAAATGTCTAAATATCTTTTCCTAAAATTGTAAATTTGCTGTTAATACTTGAAAATTGGTTTATAATAGATGATATAAGGGAACATAATAAAAATAACAATGTTTTCAAAGAACCTGCTGTAAAAATTGTTAAGAAAGTCGACAATAGTATTAAAGTAAATAATAATGATATTAATGATAATGATAATGATGATAACAACAACAACAAATACAACAACAATATTTCTCAACCAAATGACACAAATGGTTCGGAAATACAACCAATGGAAATATTAAATGAAACAGAAATTCAACCTGTTACGACAAATGGAAACAATAAAAACTGTATAGATATTAGCAATAGAAATATTAATAATAAGAATAAAAATGATAATTTTAATGATAATTTTAATGATTCTTGTAATGATAAAAAAATTAAAGGATTTGATGATGAGATGGATAAAGATCTTATAAGTAAAATTTCGGCAACTTTGGCCGAATTTTATGGTGGCGGAAATAAAAATGATGAAATAGAGAAATCACAAAAGAAAAGGCCTCGTTCGGTAATTTGAGTTTTATTCTTTTCAAATTTTAATCGTTCAATTCATTAACGTTTTTCATTTCTTGCGGAACTTAATCAATTAATTTTAGTATGCAAAAGGTATTATTGTTTCATTTTTTTTCTTTGCAAGTTGAATTCTGACTAAGTTCACATTCTTTTATCCACTTAGAATATAGCATCATCTCAATTGAAGGTGATAACCAATTTCCCGAAATAAAAATTAGAGACTTTGCGTTTTCTACAGATGATCCTCGACATTGGGGTCAAAGGATTCCATCATCATCAGATGGGGAAGAAGATGATGAGTATACTAATAGGCATGCGCGTGCATTATATGATTTTGTGGCAGAAAATCAAAATGAATTAAGTTTTCAAGAAGGAGATATTCTTTTGATACGATATCGTCAATGTGAGGGTTGGTTATTTGCCGAATTAGGTGAAAAAACTGGGCTAATACCAGACAATTATATTTTGTTATTAGATAATGATATAGAAGAAGATGAATATGGTAATTGGGCCGAAGAAGGAGATAATGAATGAGACGGGGGGGTTTTCTTTAGGTGTGTGATGGACGTATTTTATTGAAAGTTATTCCTTTTTTCAACACGTCAGGAAACATGTTTGAATTGGAATGACTGTACATAAGTAATTTTTTTTTCCTTTCTTAATTTCTAATCAGACTACTTATTATTTTGAAATTTATTAGAATACAATAGATTCATTTTCTATTAAAGAACTTTTCGTATTGTATTTTATAATTAGTGTATTTTATTTTCTTTCATAACACATTGTGTCAAACTAATTTATGCAAAAAGTTAAGGATTGGATTTAATAAAGAATCAAGATCAAAAATATACAAATTTATTTCCTTCTTGTACAAGTATTTTTTTTTATTGACATGAATAATATAAAAAAAAATATTTAAAAATAAAATATACAAAATTTAAATATAAAAGATTTAAAAAAGGAGGGTTAACACTCTTTAACCTTTTCAATTAAAACGGGAATAATTGAAGAATTATTTATGGTGCTTAAATCGCCTAGTTGATCTGATTCACCAGAAACAATTTTTCTAAGAATACGTCTCATAATTTTACCACTACGAGTTTTAGGTAAATCATTAACAATATAAATTTTCTTCGGAGCAGCAAATGGTCCAATAACTTTTCTAACTTGTAAAATTAAATCTTTAACATCAGTTCCTTCTTCATTCGGTTTAAGGGTAGCAAAAGCATGTACGCATTGACCCGTTAATTCATCAGCTACACCAATCACAGCAGCTTCCGCAACAGCGTGGTGAAGAATCAAAGCAGATTCAATTTCAGCAGTAGATAATCGATGTCCACTAACGTTTATAACGTCATCTACACGACCTCTAATCCAATAATAACCTTCATTATCTCTACCGGCCCCATCCCCTGTGAAATAATAACCTTTAAAAGGCTTTAAATAAGTATCTAAATATCTATGATGATTTTTATAAACAGTCCTTGCCATTGAAGGCCAGGGCTGTCTAATCGCCAAAACTCCTTCAGCATTATTTCCTTTGATTTCTTCCCCTGTTGTGGAATCCAATATAACAGGGTCAATTCCAAAGAATGGGAAAGTAGCGGAACCTGGTTTCGTTGCGGTTGCACCCGGTAAAGGCGTAATAATTATAGAACCAGTCTCTGTTTGCCAATAAGTATCCACGACCATACATTCTTTCCTTCCAACAACCTCATAATACCATTCCCAAGCTTCAGGATTAATTGGTTCACCTACCGAACCGATAATTCTAAGACTTGATAGATCATGACCTTTAACGTAATCATTCCCATATCTTCTTAATAATCTAATTGCAGTTGGAGCGGTATAAAATTGAGTGATTTTATGCTTAGCAACCACTTCCCAATATCTACTTGGTGTAGGATAAATTGGTGTGGATTCGAATAAAACTGTTGTACCTCCATTTAACAATGGTCCATAAATGATATAGGTGTGTCCTGTAATCCAACCAATATCTGCCATACAACCATAAATATCATCTTCATGATAATCGAAAACGTATTTAAAGGTAATTGCCGCTCCCAATAAATATCCTGCCGTAGTATGAAGAACTCCTTTAGGCTTTCCTGTCGACCCGGAAGTATAAAGTAAGAATAGAGGATCTTCTGCATTAACGATTTCAGGTGGACAATAAGGTCGATGTTTTTCAATTTCCTCATGCCACCATAAATCTCGTGAGGTATTAAATGGAACATCCGAACCGGTACGACGGAATACGAGTACGTGTTCAATTGTAGGACATTCCTTTACTGCGTCATCAACGATTTTTTTGGTGGGAATGGTTTTACCACCACGTCTTCCTTCATCAGATGTAATAACCAATCTACTTGAAGCATCTTGAATACGATCACGTAATGCATCAGACGAGAATCCGGCGAATACAACGGAATGAACTAAACCTAATCTCGCACATGCCAAAAATGCTACCACGGCTTCCGGAACCATGGGCATGTAAATGGCCACAGTATCACCTTTCTTCAATCCTAATTCTTTTAAGGTGATGGCTAGACGACATACGTCACGTAAAAGTTCTTCATACGTAATATGACGAGAATTTCCTGGTTCATCAGCTTCATATATAATCGCGCTCTAATTATAACAATAATTCCAACACGAGAAAAATTTTAAGTACGCGTAACGATAATTAACAAGCAAAAAAAAAAATTCAAAATTACCTTTTTTGGATTGACAAGAGCGTGTCTATCAACACAATTGTAGGAGGCATTCAATTCACCTTCTCGGAACCAAGCAAAATCACCATATTCAAACCCACTACCAGTAAGAACTGTTTCGAAAGGTTTGTGCCAATGAAGTAATTCTTTTGCGTTCTATCAATTAAAAGGTATTTAATATCATAAAATATAAATTATACAAATCTAGTGAACCAACATTATTATACTTACTCTTCCCCAGAAGGTTTGAGGATCTTTAATACTTTCTTCATAAAGTTGTTTGTATTTTTCAATAGAATCAACATGAGGTTTGGGACATTTTGAAGAATCAAGAATCCGTGAAGGCACTTGATAAGTAGGGATATCGATGTTCATATGATCAGTAGACATTATTTTTTTTTTTTATTTTAATCGACGATTTTTTATTCGTGGGGTTAAGGCATCTTATTTATACCTAATCATTAAATTTATTAAATTTAATAAATTTGGAACACAAAACCATTTACTGCATTTTTGTTGATCAATTATGTTTAATTTGGAATAACTATTATTGATAAAAGTATTTAAAAGTACTTAATTTACCATTTTAGTTTTTATCAATAAAAAGCATCAAAAAAAAAAAAAAATTTGAGCAGGTTCGTTTTTTTATGGCACGAACAATCCATTCTCACAATGAATTCGATTCATGTAAACCCAATTTAGTTAATTATCGCCATTACCAAAAGAAATTACTCACTTTGTTACAAATATGGTAGAAACAGTCTAAAAAATGATATTGTTTTCATAATCAACATCTGTTTTTTGTAATTTTCAATAATATGCAAATAGCGGTGTGTGCATTTTTAATGCATCAATGTCCTAGCCTCAAAAAAAATTTTTTATAACTTGAGGCGTGCCGCTATTAACCATATTAAAATTATTACAAATCAAACGTAAACAAAACAAAAGTTCTAAAATTGGTTCTTCTTTAAATTATTAAATTACCAATTAAAATTGTTAGTCACTGAATTCATTATTTTGAACGCGTCGGTAAATATTTACATTGTGCGGATCTCTTGTCATCAAACTTTCCATTCATTTGGAAACTGAAAATGAAAGAAAATTTCCAAGTTTCAGAGAGATTTTAAGGGGAAAAAACTGGAACATTAACCTATCATTTACGTAATCGGTACGTTCGAATCTATTATCGAAAAGTCTGGGTAACAAAAATCTAAGGATTGTTAAATTGAGATTAATCGCTTGTGACGATGTACTACCAAATATGTTTAATGTTAATAGAACAAAACAAATAGACAGACTTGTTTATTTTTGTTGTGATATGTTTAAAGTCCGCATAATTCTGTAATTCCAAAAATTAAGGACATGCGATTTACGGAGCATGACTTAATACTTCTGTGAAACCGAAGTAGGAAGTTTCTTTAATATCGTCAATACTAAAAAGTCTTTTTTTTGTTTGAAGATTTAAATACAAAGAATATGCAATATTTCTAATGAGACAGATTTAGTTAAAGACTTCTTAAAGAAGAATCTTTCACAAATGATCATACATAGCAGATCGACGATTGGTTGAAAGAAAAAAGATCTCTATAGTTGGAATTAGAAGCAGCGAAGTGTTTCACAGTGAATGGACCATTTTGTTTGAGAACATGAATATTTCAAAGACAAACTGAGAAACTTGATATCAAAAATAAAAAGTAAAAAATGCCAAGTGTTTATGTACCTATGTATATTTTTTACGCCTCTCGTAATATTAAACCTGAATCCCTCATCTCACCAGCAAGCATGCATGGTCATAAAATTGAATCTTTACACTCATCCAGACATTTGGGATAATCTAGGATTAGATTTGGCAAGAACTATTATATGAATCTTGTGAAAAAAGCAAAGGTTCATTTGTCATTGCGAAAAAAAAAGTATTTCTTGATATGTTGTTGCATATCAATAAAGCCGACAACATTCCTAAAGTCTTTAATTAAAATCGAATCACTCTTATTGGTCATGCACGGAATTTCGAAGTTCGAATTTTTAATTCGTTAATTGATGTTCACTTGCGCAGTTAAATTCCAAGATTCAAAAACTTTATCATTTTACAATGATGTAATAAATATATCTTAGACATTCCCAGTTTCCAAGTTTCTTTTCTGAACTCTTTTTGTAATATGTAATTATGAGTGAAATGGCGGAATATAAGCTATACACATTCTAAATTTGTACTAAGCTTTTATTTTCAACTCAGAATGTCGTAAATCGAATATTCTCCTAATTTTTCTTATATATATATAGCCGATCACCTTTTTTTAAAAAAAAAATTATTTCATTAGGATTTTCTTCTTCGTTGTCTTTATTTCCATTTTCTTTCTTTTTCAATTTTTTTTCACATTCCTAATTTGAACAAAAATTTATATCGCATTTATCCTACAGTCATCTTTGATAAATTTTCTCATCATCGTTTAACCAAATTTTATGATGTTTTCATTATTTTCAAATCTCACTTGTAACAATTCATCAAAGTCACCACTAAAACATCACACTACTCTTCAACTAAAATCCAAATTATTAATCCTTCCAAATGAATTATTGGCGGAAATCTGTGAGAATTTATCCCCTCAAGATTTATTTTCACTCACTTCGGTATGCAAAGAGTTAAGGAATATTTTATGGTCGGATAAATCAAATATAACGCAACAAATTTGGCGTAATTCTCGTAATAAATTTTACCCTAATCTAAAATCTCCGCCACTTATTGGTATGAGTGAACAACAATATCTCTGGCTAACGGTATTAGCCAAGCAATGTCAATTTTGTGATGAAAGTGATGTGAACTTGCTAAAAAAATATTGGGAATTTCAAATTATTTGTTGTGAGAATTGTTTAAATAAACGAGTGGAAAGGTACGTAAATAAGTATGATCTTCCTATTAATATTTTTCTTTGCC